CCCCAAAACCCCAAAACCCCAAAACCCCAAAACCCCTCTTGTAGCATTATTCTTTGAAACTTATAGATTAAAAATTATTAATTTGATAAATGGAAGAACAGAAATACACCCTTGGTCCACTCAAAATGAAGGTAACCCAAGCGAAAAGGACTAAGAATTATAAGAGATGAGATAATATTTCTTCGATAAACTTGCTTCTTTGTTCAGAAAACAGGAAAAGTGTTGGTAAGTTGTCTCTAGCACTTCTTCATGCTAAATTATCACACTTTTATTAAATAATCAGGAGCCTAAACTAGTTTCTCAGTCCTAAAATAGCTACTTACTGACTTTAATGACCTCTAAACCAGCTATGGGTCTTCTAAAGAATAGATTATAGACTCTTCTTCTTAGGTGATTTATGAAATTTTCATAAAATTTATTTAAGATCTTCACCCAAAGTACACACTAACCAAATTCCTTTAGCAAATCTAAAACAAGCGTCTTCGATTAAGAAATCAGGAGAAAGGAAGTCTTCAAAATACAGTCAGATTAAGAAATCTAAGAGACGAAGTTATAGTCACTCTTCTTCAAGAACTGTATCGATAACTTCAAGGAGTACCTATCAAACCAGAAATTGTTATAAGGGTGAGAAATTTATGGATAATTTATAGTGCTAGAGGGCTCAAAAACTATTCTGGCTAATAAATACTACAAATTGAGTGGAAATCACTTGAAGCCTAAGAAGTCCAGGCCTGGAATCGTAAGTGATTCGTTTGGCAGCCGCAACATCAATTATTCATATCTTTAATATAAACTTTAGTGTGCTTTGTCCAAGACTTCCACTATGCCAGTAGCAGTAGATTTATCTAATAGTGAAGAAACAAGTCTCTCAAAAAGAACAAGCCAAGCTCATGAAGCGCCAATTTCGATTTCAAACACAGTAAAAGAGATAAACGAAATCAAGAGAAATAAAATGAAGAAGATTATAAATAAAATGTAAATTTTAGATTTTAATACATTCTCAATATTTATAGGAAAGGAGCTTGAAGAAAACAAAAGTGAGTCAAAAATAACTATACAAGAAACAATGCGCCAGGATTAGACAGAAAGTGGTCTTCCCCATCAAAAATACCTTTAAAAAGTAATCTAGAGATTTCCCACAAAAAGAAGCCACTTGTGGATACTCTTGACCAAACAATTGGTCAAGACCTGCAAAAGCATGAACTTTTACAAAAATTAGAGAAAGCGAGGAGAGAAATAGAACAAATAAAACTTGAATTCCAGAAAGAACGTAATCTTAGAGAGATGCATATCTGTAAACTCTGTGCTACCTCTAAGATGCCTGATGCTAAGAATTGATCAATTGGGGCCTACATCCATAAAAATCTTCAAGAAATCAAAAACAGCACCTAATCCCCCAAAATTGCTAAAACCAACTCTCTAAGCCTCCTTTCCCTCACCTCTAACCCTCCTCTTCTGCATCCTTCTCCACTTATTTTCAACATAAAAAATCCCTAAAGGGGTTTTGGGGTTTTGGGGTTTTGGGG